TTTCCTTGGCTTCCCAGAGTGCTAGGATCACAGGCATGAGCCACCTGGCCCAGCCCCATGGTGTTTTTGAAGACCTAATTTGACCCCTTCATTCATGTGAGGAAATACAACACAAAGAGGATTTTAACGACACAACTCACAATCCTAAAGTTCACAGACAAAGCTAGAGCAGAAATCCAAATCTAGGGTTTTCTCCACTATTCCCGCAGAAATTTTACTGAGTCTCTAACCATCCACTTTAGCCTTTTAGAGTAAGATGACAAAAACAATGTTATAGTTACTTTGGTAGTCTAAAAAAATTCCCACGTATTAATGTAGTTCTTTGTCTTCTCCGAAGTGCTTTTTGTGAGTACAGTCTCCAGATGTTGTTACCATGCACCTTCTCTGCCACACATCTTAATTCTTTTTTCTTTTTTTAAAGATAGGGTCTTGTTCTGTCACCAGGCTAGAATGCAGTGGCCTCATCATAGCTCACTGTAACTTCAATCTTCTGGGTTCAAGTGATCCTCCTGCCTTAGCCTCATGAGTGGCTATAAGAGCTCCACAACATCTGGCTGATTTTTCTACTTTTTTGTAGGGATGGGGGGTCTCACTCTTGCTCAGGCTGGCCTTGAACTCACTCCTGGCCTCAAACAATCCTTCAACCTGAGCTTCCAAAGTGAGGCACTGTGCCTAGCCACACGTCATAATTTTCTTGAACAAGAGCATTTTTTTAAAATTTTTGAGACAGAGTTTCACTTTTGCTTCATTTCCTGTAACCCTTTTTTCAATGCTTATTAAGGTTGCACTGGTAGAGTGCCCTAGCGTCATAGCTCACAACAACCTCAAACTCTTGCACTCAAGCGATCCTCTTCCCTCAACTTCCCAAGTAGCTGGGACTATCAGTGCCCGCCACGATGCCTGGTTATTTTTAAGAGACGAAGGTCTAACTCTTGCTCAGGCTGGTCTTAAACTGGTGAGCTCAAGCGATCTGCCCCCCTCAGCCTCCTTACCACCATGCCCAGCTAAACAAAAGCAGTTTTTATTCTAGTTCCAACAGTTTGTCTCACAGGGTTAATAAAAATTTAAGTAATCCCAAATCCCAACCGAAAGAAATCACAACTAAATTGGAAACGGATACACTATGAATGCAGGAACACTATATTTATTAAGTCAATAATCCATTTTTTTAGCAATACAAGTACAGAATATATCACAATGCTGGTTACAAACATACTTAGTATGGTTTTAATAGTTACAAATAATGGTGGGCACTACAAGTGGGTGAGGATGATAGGAAAGGTCATTCTGACACAATGAAGAACTGTCTTCAAAAATCTATTTAATGACCTTAGATATTTCTATAGAAATTACTGTGGCACTAGTCGTGGGGATTTTCACATAAAGATTGTTAGTAATCTGCTTTTAATTGTTCCATTAAGAGCTTTTTATTTTGAGCCTATTAAACTAAAATCCCCTGTTGCTTAATAAAGTATAAAAATAGTACTGACTTGGTAATATTTAATAAAATGTAGCATCCATTCACATCATAAAAGTAGAACTAAATTTAAAAGTTTAGTTACCATGGCAACAGATCTTCCCATAAAAGGAATATACAGAAATGAATAATGTTACACAACTGGTACCTGCAACGGTTACTTAGTGATCCAACACTTAACTGTGCACCACAAACCAAGTTTTCTAGATATCTATATATAGCATATATTTTAATCTTAAATTTTACTTTTGAAAAACATGTGCACTTCAACAAACTCACTAAGGCCACTCATGCTATCGATACCTAGGATTGCAATTAAAGAATAGTATTATTTAATAAATCCTAAAGCACACTCCTTCAGATCAACAGGGTAAAACCAGTTTTCTGCCTAAAACATTCCTGAGATTTGTGGACAAAAGAACTACGAGTCTTCAAGCTGGAGAATAATCCAAATGTTACATTAAAAAAAAAAAAAAAAGAATTTCCTGGCAACTGAGGTCCTCCAAAGCCAAGAGGTGAAATACACATTAAATTTTTAAAGCAAAAATAAAACTCTTTAAAAATTTTTATACTTATAAATTAGCGTCTTTCCAGTAGTAACTTTGCTATTCAGAAATAGTATGGAAGTGGTGAGGCTACAAGTTCTCGGGAAAACATGAAAAGTTAAGTGGCAGTTAACTCTATTCACTACTTAGCAAATCATTCCTTCAACTTGTAAAGTTTTGGCCAAAAATCACATTTTAGGCATGTGTTTGCTGTTCAGCTTTCTGTGTGTACTAGAAGGAGCAGCCGAAATGTTCCCCTCCTTATTTCTAAGATTGCAGCCTCTGTACTTAATTTTCACAAAATTATTAACTCTTCCTAACAGACTAGAAACAAGGGCCTCTCTAAAATCCCTAACTTTCACAAAGGGAAGAATACCTGGGCAGGGCCCTACAAGGCAGTAATGAGTTCAGTTTTAAACAAGCAGAGACAGAGATTTGATGGTGGTAAGGGTCCCAATCCTTTGGGTAAAGGCAGTTTTGAGGACCCACAAAAGTTATGCTCTAAAAAACCAATTGGCTCTATTGAACTGAGTGCAGACATGAAGGGCCACCTGTGTGACACGCGGAGTGTTAACAGAGCTCCCGGATGCACCCGAGTTGAGTAGCACCAAACTTCAGGAAGAAGACTGGGAAAGAGAAAGACAGAGAAGACTAAGAACAAGAGACACTTAACATTATTTCGCTGAACTTCCAGAAAAATCTTTCAGTTGGCCAGGGGTTCCTTACATACAACCCACCCCCCCCCCCGCCCATGTAAAATGTTTGTGCAAGCTATCTGTTATTGTGAGGTAAATTTTATTCTTTTAATCCTTTAAGATTTTTCAAAAAGATTATTACAGTATTATTCATCAGAACCAGAAGTAATAGCATATTAAGTCGTATCATTAACAGAAAATGGCAAATCTGCTTTCTTAAGTTAGAGTGTATGTATTTAAATCAAAATGTATGGATTTACAGAAAATGACATTAATGCAGTGGTGATAAGGAGAAACTGCCAATAATGATGTTTAAAAAAATAGTGGCTGCCACTTAACATCACCCTGTGATCCTAGTTGTTTTATCACTGAGTGTGAGCTAAGTTGAGTTCAGACTGAGTTAGGGAGGATGAGGCTGTAAGTCATTTGCTTGATTTTAACCTAAGAAATGCTATACGTGCACAAAACCAAAAAATACAAATTGAGTAGAAAAAAAAAAACTTCATATGAAACATGTTTCAAAATATTTATTGAAAAACAATTTACCATGACATTCCTATACCACAAACATCCCACTGGATTCTAAATAACCAATAAAAGTATACAAAGCCTATCCTGGAAATATCTTTGGAGATACTAAATATATAGGCCCATGAGGATAGAGCTGAGTAACTTTAAAAAATGTTAGTTCTTGGTCACACAGACTATTTGGTAATTGATAAAGAGGAACCTCTCTGTATTACATCACAATTAACTGGGAGGGAGACCAGCTTAATAAACTGCAGATTTGTGCCAACTTTGTCCAAAATTTTAAAAAGGAAAATTGGATTTGAGGGATGAACCCAGGTTTCTGAATCACATAGTTGCCATCATAGGGTGTGACTCTGCTCCAACTCTTTAGGGACAGCTCCTAGTCAATTCCCTCCTGGGGACTCAACCACACTGGCTCACAAGACTGCAAGTAACAGTTTCAAGCAAATTTTTCGTAGGAAAGTTCAAAAAAGTGCTTAAAATACAATCTGAAATCTTCACTTTCTGTACTCAATGTGGTGGACAGTTTAAGATTTTCCCCTCTCCCACTCAACATGCATGTTAAAAGAAAACCCAAAATTCAACACACATCCACTCACCCAGACTACTCCAAGCCTTAGCCGGGAGCAACGTCTTTAACAGCCAAGTCATGAACCCCTGAAAATAGGGGGGAAACCCAGATTCTTGACTACAGAGGCAGCCGAGGGGCCGCTATAGCAAGAATTGAGGTAACAGCAAAAGACCTTTGTTTCTGGGAAGGCTGTATGTCACAAATCTTCAAATCTGAATATTACCTCAACTTCAAATAACCTGACTGGCTTTAAAAAATAAACTAAAATAAAAACTCAACAAACAAAAAGACAAAATAGTGAAATAAACATATCATTAGGGGATTTTTCCATTTGACTCCTGGATTTCAAATAAAATGACCCAGTTGTCCTATTATTTACCATAAAAATGAAGGATTTTCTAAGATTTATTTTAGGGCATTTATTTTTCATAAATCTCCACAAACCGTATAGTAACTTAAAATTCCCATGTGGGCATAAGCTGTTTCACGACTCGGCCAATCAATAGCCTTGTTAACTGCACTGATTATTGGGGTGACATTTAAAATGAGAGGGATGGCTGCAGCAGATATTCACAGACTTGCTATGGCATTGCCATCTGTGTGCCTGGACTAAAGATAGGCCACCGAAACTGCCAGTTTCCCTAGTTTGATATCTATTATATGAATATGATTTTTCAATTATCACTTTTCATTATACATTTAAATGAAATCATTCTACTGATAAAAGTATACGCAGGGTCTAAAATAACAATCTAAAGCCTCTGGTCCAAATAACCGCCTTCTACGTTAGGCTGGTCCTTTTTATCTGCTCCTGGTCCTGTTAGCAAATGCTATCAGAGCATCTTGCATTGTTGTACCCACCCCCCCAAAAAAGGTTAAAACTGCTGGTCTATCAGATTTTCTATTACTTACAGTTCAACACTGGTCCAGTTCAGCTCAATCTGACAGTCCTTCCCTTGTAATATAGCTCCAGAGAGTGGTTATAGCCACTTCTCTGGGTTAGGTAGCCAAACCTAAGTCAGATGTCCCTCCTTCATTAGTACTTGTGTTAACGTTTATATACTGCATATAAAGCTTTCCCCATAAAATGGCTTTATAATACAGTATTGAATACCTCCACATGGAAGAATTTTATGTTAAAAAGTTGTTAAAATCATCCTTACATAATAAGAATGCAACTCTTTTAAACTCTTAAATAGTTTTATTTAGGGGTTCTTTTTTTTTCTTTCAGGCTTTCTGCAAAATGAATTACTTTTTAAAAAGAAAAAAAAAAGATTTTCTGTTGTTTGTTCTACTACGTTGAAAATGTGGGCCAGACTACTTATACATGCGGTACATGCTGAATATAACTGAATATATGCTTATTCCTACGGGCACTCTGCAAGATAGGGGTCACCCCAAATGGGGCTTTTAATGGACTGGACCAGTGTTTCAATGCAAATTCCAGCCCCCAAAAACAACATGGTTTTGATTTCACAGTATGAATTCCCTGGAATCTGGGAAAAGGTAATTGGTTAACTGAGGTCCTCCCTCAGCAGCTCGGTCCCTCGACATTCTGAGAAATCAGGAAGGACTGCACCACTTCTTCAGTGGACTGGGGGCTGGTGTTGACGTCTTCAAGAGCGTCGGTGACTGAATACTGCCGATCTCGCAACCGGTTCCAGTTAGACAGAACATTGTGATATTCAAACACTTTCTCATAATTTCCAATGGAGTTGTAAAGTTTAATGAGGCCTCGATAATCATATTCTAGTCCACTGTAGCCTTCACCAAAGAGTTTCTTCCCTGAAAGTAATAAAAAGAAAAGAAGGAAAGGAAGAGAAGCAAGCTGAAATAATGAAGTAACAAGCAACTTGTACAACACATGTTCAGGATTTTAAATAGAGTGGCTTAGTTTTATACCCCTGAAAGGAATAGATAACAATCTTTTATCAGTGACCTCCCAACACCGTGCCATCAACAGCTAATTTTCTCTTGTCTAAAGCAATTGACCACATTAGAACAGAATTTAAAATTTCATGGTTTGAAGGGACTGATTTAACAAGATCTCAAAGTAAAGAAGAATGGCACCACCTCCAACAGAAAAATACATATGCACAAGCCTATTCACTACAGCAGTGTTC